TATTCTTCCATTGAGAATGAATGGAGTATGAATGCTAAACTCTAAGAAATGAAAATATTGAAAGATGTGGTGTGAGAGGTATGAGGTGAGCCTTTGGTTTTATAGAAAAATTTGGCAAAATAAATATGCCACGTGGCTTGATTTGATTGGATGAAAATCTTATCTGAAATTTGAAATTCATCCGAAATTTGAACCCAATTTTATCTGAAATTTGAATTTTGAAATTCATTCGAAATTTGAACCCAAATGTATCTGAAATTTGATTTTTGAAATTCATCCGAAATTTGAACCCAAATGTATCTGAAATTTGATTTTTGAAATTCATCCGAAATTTGAATTTTGAAATTCATCCGAAATTTGAACCCAAATGTATCTGAAATTTGATTTTTGAAATTCATCCGAAATTTGAACCAAAAAATCTTATCCCGAAATTTTATCTGATTATGAATAGTCTTGACACGTAGGAACCCGTAAATCTTATCCGAAAATATTATCCACATTAATTATTAAGGTAAATAAAATTGTGAATAAAACAAAAAAATGAATAGTAATGCCCTTAGCAAGGGCAACGGATGGAAACACAAAATTCTGATTTGCAAGGGCAACCACTATTCCCGTGAATAGTGGCTGCCCTAGCTCCCCCCTTGCCATGGCTAAGGGCAAATGGGTTGAGTTGCTCTAAGAGGCTACTGCAACTGGCGGACGAAGGCTTGTACATCATATTGTGGGCAAACTGTATCATACACTCGTTTTTAAATTTGACAAAACGGTTTCTTCAAGATACGAGCCCATCTCCATCTAATGCATTTGAAAGAAGTTTATAAGTGATTGAAATAATAATAATAATTTTTTAATTTAAGAAAAAGTTATACTTTCTGGGGGAAAAAAAGAGAGCAGGTTGTCCTCCCTATCTGCACAAGGACAAGTCTATGATCTACTAAAATAAGAAAAGAGAACTTGGAAACACTGCTCTTTAGATAATACAAGCATGCAAACTTCAAACAAGCCTGTCACCAATATCATGAATACTTGAAAAGAAAGTCATCGAACCTCTCATAACAGGCTGACTTAAATTTTGCATCCTTGCTGCCATCCGAAGAACGATGCTTTCCAACTTTCTCCTTTCTTCTCTTAGAAGAATGGGATCCTTTCTTCTCTTAAATTAAGAGGTCGACAGTATTGCTTCAATCTCAGAAAGAATAACTTCTTGCCACAAGCCCGTAGAAACTTCTTTCAAGTTTGTCGCCATATGGATTGGATTCTTGTCTTCAATCTGATATGGAAACATATTACAATATTTCTTCTACGAAACACCTTTTCAAAAAAAATATATATATATATATATATATATATTTCTTCTGCGAAACACAACTTGCACTCACATCAGGCTACCGTCTTTAGGCTACCGTCTTTAAGAAGCATAAAGACCAACCTGACAAGCAAATATCTTCGGATAGTACGACTTCAGCCAGAATTGCGAAGGCAGAATATATATATTTCTTCTGCGAAACACAACTTGCACTCACACCAGGCTACCGTCTTTAGGCTACCGTCTTTAAGAAGCATAAAGACCAACCTGACAAGCAAATATCTTCGGATAGTACGACTTCAGCCAGAATTGCGAAGGCAGTAGCTCAAAGCGCATACACTGATAATCCAAATATGTCATGCGAAAAATTCTCATCAGTGAAAAAAAAATCCAGAGTTTCGATAAAACCATGAAGACGATAAACCACGAATACTTCATTTCTAAAGACGGTCCTGACGTAAGATTCGCATCTTTTACTCCAGTACCAGTATTTCTTGTTAAATGCGCATAACCTTGTGGAAACCACATGGAGATGATGACGTTGGCCATTGACTCGGGTACCGTTAACTAAGGACTGTTAACTACGACTTGAAGACAAGACGGCATTGGCCGGAGGTTGTTACGCCGTTAAGAATTCAAGAGGATATTATGCTTGCTCGGGATAGCACTTTCAATAAGAATCGTGCACAAAAATGAGCATCATAGTATTGGTGATGGCCGCACCAAATAGAATGATTTTATATACTTAGGATCAGTGCTAAATTCATTCTTATATGCATCAAGGGACTGTAGAACAGAATATTTCAATGTTCATTTATCACCTGAAATTATACATGTCAGAGAAAGGTAACAATATACACAATAAGAAACAAATATAAAGCCTCTTAATGCAAAGCCATCAAGCACCATGCATAAGGGGCAATTATTGCAAACATATTTTTTTAAATTTAAATTAGCTTCACAGTGAATGCCATATAACCCATTCCCTAGATTATATAATAAAAAATTAAAAAGTAGGAATATGAGATACATTTTGCCAAAAGAAGAAGAATGGAAGACGAAAAGGCACAAATCTAAAAAGGAGAGAGAAATTGTTAAGTCTCATAAAATTAAAGGAAAAAAAAGGACTAAATTGCAACAACAACCCTCAATTACTAGAATCTCAATTTAGTCCCTGAACTTTAACTTGAACAATGTCAACGTTAAACTATGAATTAGTGTCAAAGAGAACCTTTTGTTACTAACATCTATTAAATACTCTTCTACATGAATTATGCAGGAAAACCTCCTGTTACTAACATTATAAATCAATAACCCTATAGAGCATACTGATGACAAAAGAAGTATTTGGGATGTACCATATGTAAAAATACTGAGGGTCCCCTATCTCAACTGTTGGTTGGAGTGCAAACATACTGAATCCAGAAATGTTTACCACCATGAAAAGAAAGTTTGTGATGATCTAATCAAACGTTTTGACACTATATTACTTCGGGAATAAAGAAATCCAAACACCACCCACCTCTTCCGTAGAATTCAATCTCTACACCAAATTCAACACACTCAGTACTGAATCCCAAATCACCAATGCACGAAACAAATCCTAAAAACACAACCAAAGCAAAACTCCAATCCTCAAACTGGTACTGCCCCGCTAGCTCATTAGCTCCATAGCATATTGGCATTTACTCTAAAAGGAAAAAAATCACTACTTTTCTCTTGCTCTTCATGGTATCTTCGTTTTCTTAACACTGCCCTCAAATCCCCAACCATAAGATTATTACATCAAACTTTTCTTGGAAGAGAGAGAGAGAGAGAGAGAGAGAGAGAGAGAGATGTTGCGGCTCTAGAGAGAGCACATAGAGAGAGAGGGCAAAAAAGGAGACAGAGAAAGAGAAAGGGGAGATACAGAGAGGTAGGGGAATGGGAGGGATGGTTTAAATTTTTTTATTTATTGAAGTTTTAATCTCCTTTTTCTTAAATTTTTTAGCCAATTTTTTATGAATTTTAATTTGTACGATATCTTTTATTTAAATCCACTTGGCTTTATATAATTGGATGTGTGGGCACAAAGGAAGAAGGGTGTGCTTCTTGCTGTCTGGTCTGTGGGTTGAAAATATGGTTGAAATATGCCATCCAAGCATCCAAACCATGTCTTTTTTATTTACTGACGCGGAAGATAATGTTTCCCACCCACTTAAACACAAGTTTATTTTAATTTACTCCAAAACAGGAAAAAAAATTTGGGAGCGCGTTTTCAAAGAAATGAAAGGATGTGGGAAAACAACCCAAACAGAAAGATATTGAATTGAATCTCAAATCCTTACATTGATAGCTTTCCAGGCATAGAGAGTAAAATGAACAATTCTATGTGCCCAATGAAGCTTACTGACCCCATTGTGCAAACACCCACTTCATCCATGTAGATAAGCAATACTTGGAAAGATATTCGGGTAAATCCTCCTACAAAACAGAAAAAATATTAGGATAGCGAGAAAACATCCTTCATCTTCTAACTCCAAGGACGTCCCAATTTTTAAGTTCAAACGAGATCAAGTTTAAAGGACTGCTCAATTAATTCAAAACAAGAAACAGAAAAGAAAATAGGAAAATCAAAGCTAAACTGATTACGACCATTGCCCATGGATAATAAAGATGGATCAATTATAAAATAAACCACGGAATTATGAGGCAAATTTCCATTTAGTACCCAATTTTCAAAATCTTTCAATGTCAAACCCAAACTTCGGAAACTTTTTGAAGGTCAAACTACTGTCAATTTGACTGTCAGGTCAAACCTTGTGTGCATTCTGCTAGTGTGGGACCGAAGTTCTAGATGACGTGGACATCATCTGAGATACGAGCTAAGGCATTTTCAGGTTTCCACGAAAACTTTTCCGCCCAAATGTTGTACACTAGTAGTGGCCGCTCTAATTTACTCTCTCTTGGCAATGGGCCTTATCAAAGGTCACACGGGCCAAGCATGCAATGTTTGGGCAGGAAGGTTTTACCAAAAACCTGAAAGTTTCTATAGCTCAGATCTGCACATCATCTAGAGCGTGGGTGCCACACTGCCATGTATGGGCATAACATTGGACTAGACAGTCAAAGTGGCAGAGGCTTGATAATTAAACGATTATCGATGGGTTTGATATTGGATGATTTCGAAGATTGGATACTGAATACAAATTTGGATGCGTGAATTTTGTAACAGACAAAATAAAAATATAAAATAAACTAATATAACAAGTACTATATTAGTGCAACACTTTACCCACTCAGCTTATATCAAATTATGCAAAGGTTTGATCTCAACCATCGGTGAAAAGACAAAGTCACTGATCTACAATATGAAATCATGAATGACGGAAATTAAACCAGTTGACTAAGCAATTGATATTAAGTTCCAGATCCTCCTAAACACACCTTGCAGTTCAATGAATTTATTTCCTTGACATGTTTTCAAGTACAATTATACAGATCATGGCCTACTGTAAGCTTGGTTCTACACTACGCATGTTTACTACAGAAAAGAGCTTACCAAAAGATTCTATTTGGGTATGACAACATTAAAAGAAATAGTAGCATCCATAGTAGAAGAGTTCAAACAAGTGCAGGGGTAAAAGGCAATTGCAGTAAAATGTAATGAGGTCAAGATGATTTATAGAGCACATAAGTAGAGTCTGTGAGAAACTTACACTGTTCCATGATGCAGAATACTCATCAATTGAGAGCAACCAACTTCCAACATTAGATTGCAAATCCAGCCTATTTTTTGTCGTTCCCAAATCCAGCAACTCATTGTCGCTGTCATCATGATTGATGTCCCTTTTTCTTTTCCTTCTACTATGTTTTTTCCTGTGCTTAACTGTTTTGGATGCTCTACTATCCAAATCAGAAACACCACCTTCCAACACTCCATGATTATCTAGAAATAAATATCTATCTGATTTTCGGAAACTTATTTCATTATGCATAAATAATAATTCCCAAGACTCGGGAGTCTGGCATTTTTCTGCTAAACTGTAATAGATAACCCATGACTGAAGCCCCAGCAATTTAAATGCTTCTATATTCTTCATTTTAAAGCAATCTTTGATTATTGAGGCCAAGCTACTGTCATTGTTTGGGATTCCGTAAATCTTCGAAACAATGTCTTCAAGTTTTTCTTTTTCCTCGTGGGCCTCTTCATCTCGTAGAAGTCGTAAAAGCTGGCGTCCATGATTAAAAACTGCATTTAACAGTAATATCTGATCAAAGCACCTAAAATCACCGCACTTAGAAAGTATAACCTCAAACAAATGACTTGAGTCCATAGGATCCTTGAGCTCCATTCTAGGGTTGAGATTCTTATGAAGCATGTTAAGAAAATCACATAAGTCCCACTCATCAAGAGTAATAAGAAGGCGTTTGCACAACGAAGAAAAACATTCCTCCTTCAGATACTCACTTGTAACTTCCCATACATCTCTTGAATCCTCTTTATACATCAAATCAACAAAAAATTCGACAAAAAATTTTCTATCAACGAACAAAATTTCACCATCTTTAAGTGACTCAGAAAGCTCATTGGACAACCAAAATTCAGGGACATTTTCAAGGAAATTCTCCACAGTTGCCTGGACATCCAAATCAAGAAAGTAATGGGGCTTTGTTGCAACTACTGCTGGTGATTGCCCATGTTTTCCCTTCCACTCAAGCTCCTCCCAACAAATATCTCGATTAACAAAAGAAAATTGCGACAATGCCTTAGCACCAGGTCCATGGCCCAATCCACCGCCAGTTCTAGAAAACCATTGAGATATTCGTGTTGGATTTCCTGCATTTTCAACAATGATGTCATTATCTTTATTCCTAAAACATCCACATCATTGGAGGTTGGCCTGCCCACCATCCTACATCGACATATTTATCAATCTTCCAACAGGTATAAACAGAGCAGTCTTTATCCATACTAAATATTATACAGGAATAAATATCAATATTATTGGAGATACAGAAAGTACACGGAAAATGATGATATTCAATAGTAAAAATAATACACACAAGAAACCAAAGTTAATGAAAAAGAGGAAAATGAACTCAAACATGAACTAAATGTATGAAATGTAAAATTGACTTGCCTTCAAAGAATTTCTTAAGTATGTAACTTCTCTTGGCAATAATGGACCCTGCCTTATGTGGCCTATTCTCAAATATCATTTCTAGGAGCTGAGATGCAAAGCCCTTCTTCAGCGGCTTAGATCTCAGCAAGTTCGTAAGTAACTCGCACTGATGGTGACGACTGATGGAACTTATGCCAGATATCGTGTTACAAAGCCACAGACGAGCCTCTGATCGACCTCCAGATGCCATGACCGACCAAATAACAGATTCCAAATTACTCAAGAGAGATACTCTCATCTTGGCAGAATTGTCATCTCCATTGTCATTCCAGATGGGCTCTGATAGAAACAAATGAAGCATTATATATCCAAGGTTATCAAGGTGCTCAGCTCAAGCACCTTATCCCAAATAAATGATTCCAGAACAAAGTCCTGCATAAAACCAATAGCATTATCAATATGCATCACCTCGAGCAGGGGAAGTTCAAGAACAGAAAATGAAATGATTATCACGCAATGAACTTAAACTACAACATATAACAGTCAAACCTCTATTAAAACGAGAATATAGGAATCCCAGCAACATACGTCACCGGAATTACTTACACTTGTAAACACAACTAAGAGGATATAGATTTTCCCCGCAGAAAAAATTATCACTCTTGATTGATCTAAAACAAGGATAACAAATAGTTTGGTAAAGGGTCTTGAAGAACATGGGGAATCATAAAGTATGGCTGACTCAGTGACAGTATCACCTTCGTTGCACCTGGTGGCGACTTAAACTGGATAGGAGGCTGAGAGAAGAGAACAACTGGGTTTGTCAGATGAAAAATCTCGAACCGGGTTCTGACTCCAAATTTCTTAAGAAATTTTGGCCAGGCAATAATTCAGGCAGGGGCTTTAAACGTTGTACTCCGTCAAAATTTGGGGCTAAGGTGGAGAACGATGTCAAAGAGCGCGCGAGAAAACCAAAAGCAGGGATTCACGAAGCCATACTCAGATGCTCTGAGGAGGAGTGGGGATCAGCTAGCCCGATATCTAAGGAGTTGATTGAAACTGACATGCGGGAGGAATTGGGAGTTCTTTCTGAATGGGTTCTGGGACTGACGAAGAATCGTCAGAGTCCGAGTCTACCAACGACACGGATTCTTCTGCAGTGGTTTAACTAAATATGCAGAGATTCTACAAGAGGCAGAACAACACAGAGACATTCGTATTACCCTCCAGACAAACTATTACTTCATCCCAACATAACCAGAGATAAAAGAGGTAAAAAGCAGAGATAAACCCTCCCATAGAAAGGGTTTATTGTGCTTATATATACTCAAATATGCCAAAGAATTTGAAAGATTAACCAAACATGAAGAAAGACAAAGTATAAACCTAAAAATTACGAGTAGAAATAACCCTTAAAAATTAGAGATTCATTGCTGCAAGCATATAAAACCCCAAAAAAAATCAGGAAAAAAAATTCACAGTATCCACCCAAGAATTAGAAGTAGAAATAGGAATGATGTTAGGTACCAAACCAAAATTAACACAGAAAAAAAACCAGTAGAGATAAGAAGTTGAGAACTTCGAAATTCTATCAAGATAAAACCCAACCAATATTTGAAATAAATTCTTGCAACATGAAACGGGTGTTGCCATAAACTACAGAAAAATAACAACAACAAATTCAATGAGATGAAGGGAGTGAACTTGGGTGGCTTACCCTAGGCTATCATTTTAACTGGAAGAGGAGGGAGTGTGGAGGTTTTGCTCAGAAACAGAAAGCTTTGTTTCTCAACGAAAAGACAAAAATTAAAGAAAAATACGAGTTTTTTTTTTTTTTTTTTGGTCGAAAGAAAAATACGAGTTGAGTTCATAAATTTTGAACAGCAGGATGGGCTTTTATCCACGTGGCGTTTGATAATCAAGTGAAACATTGTCCCAATTTCCTGCATAGTTTGATTGCTTTTTATTACAAATGGTTCTATAAGTTTACGAAATTGTCACGAATGGTACTTTAAGTTATTTATTTATTTATTACATTAATAGTCCTTAACATTATGGTCTTGTATCACAAATGGTCTCTACAGTCATAGTCTAAAATATCGATAATATCAACGAAATATCGACGAAATATCATTGTTTTTTCAGGTCACAGATATTTCGGAATGTATTCATGCACATATCGTCTAAATATCGAAAATATCAGAAAATATCGATGTCGATAATTTCGCTCACACTTAAGTAATATTTTGTCAAAATATCGCTATAATAGCGAAAATATCGAAATATTGATGTAATGGAAAAAAAAAACACAAAGCACACACGCAAAAGGGATTCGAACCCCTGTCATTTCACTCCTCCAACGACTTAATCACGATGTTGCTTATGTTTTTGTGATAATACGCAAAGGGGAACTCTATGTGGTAAGTCACTCATATATCTTACCATACAATGTATAAAGTGTAAAATATTGTGGTAAATCCTTATATATAAATGATTGTGGTGTGTTTAATTTTCTTTAATTAATTACTGCATATATTCTACACTCACAGTGTTTGTCAGCTCACTATATAATCAACTTAAATCAGTTAAACCGATCATGCAAAGAATTTCCTTCAATTTGTTTGTGATAAACTAATAGATAATTGATTAAATAAACATCCTCCAAAGTTTCAATAAAAATTTCCAAGTTTTTCTTACAATTTCCATGGTTTTTATTCAATTTTTATCACTATCGATAATATCCCGATATTTCTATCAAAATTTCCATATTTTTGAACTATCGATATTTTAGACCTTGCCTGCAGTTAGAAATTATGTTAAGTGTCTGGTGTAGAAGATAAGTAGAGCCCGCATAAAAATGTATTTTTTTGCAACTTCCCACTTCTCCCACTTTGTATCTCCCCTTCTCTGCCCTCTCTCTCCACCTTATGCCCCCTTTCTCTCCCCCATTGTCCTCTCTCTCCTCATTTAGTCTCTTTTTCTTTTCCTTTACCTTCTCTCCCTCTGTTTTCTCTCCCCCTTTGCTCCCCCTCTCTCCTCCATGTGCTCTCCCTCTCCCTTTGTTTTTTGTTCTTGCCTACAACCCGACGACCCCATCCCCACCCATAACCCATGCCCAACCCCACCCTCTCCCTATGTGTATGTTGCAAAATAATCCCTTGCATAAGAGCTGTTCCACACATTTTCCTTCACATAAACATTTATTCAAACAACTTTTGAAAAAATATTAAAAACAGAGGAAAATGGATAGCTGAGAGGGAGAGTAGAGGAGGAGAGAAAATACAGAGGAGAGTTTTGTCCTAGGTTGTTTGACTATTTGGTTTTATCAATGGTCCCCTATATGTTTTTTGGTTGTATTGTGGTCCTAATTGATTTTTTTTTTTTTTGGTTCCATTTTGTGATTGTTGGCATTTAGTCTAAGTTGAGTTTCAAATGTTTTTATATGTTTGCATATGAAGATGAATTCTTTACAATTCGAATGCATCTTGGTGGGAAATGGTTTGAAGGTTGCTATAAGGATGGTTATGTGACCTGGTTTGATTATGTTGATAAAGATGCATTATCTTTATTTGAGATAGATGGAATGGAGGACACATTGGGTTATGATGGCTGCACACTGCACTATTACAAGGAACCTGACAAAGACTATTTCAATGGGTTACAGCTATTGCAAACTGATAAAGAAGTGGTACAAATGGGCAAGTATGTTATAGGAACTAAAGAAATAGACATGTACATGGGGCACGTGAGTCTGAAAAATTGCGCACAGAAGATGAAGATGTTATATAGGTTATATGAAGGCAACCAAATAGAGGGGTGGTGATTAAAGAGATAGAGGAAGAGCATGTGTGTCAGCAATATTTCATTCAGAAGGACAGTTAATGATAACACTCTTAATGGTGGTGTCCATGCTTTTAATGAGGGGGATGTAGGTTTGAGAAATAAGGAGTAGTTTTCTGCAGCAGAAGAAAACTACAATGATGGTGATGAATGGAGTTGAGGACAACGGACATGAAGATGGTGATACTGAAGGTGAAGATGGTGAAGTTGAAGGTGAATATATTGCAACAGAAGATGTTGATGAGGATGACATTGACAGTGACTTTGTTGACAGTGATTATAGTCTAGATGAGGATGAGAATGAGAACATTGGGATAGGAGATGATGTTTATGATCCATTGGTTGCAGCAGCTGAAATAGGACACCATGAATATGAAAGACCAAGTGAGCATGAGGCTTTCACTGAGGTTGATCCTAGAGACATGGATGGTGTTGGTATTGAAGATGCAATATAAGGATCCAATGGTCTTGATAGTGTGCACTTAGATGATTCCGACTTTGAAACTACTCATAGAAGGATTTTCCCTAGTAATCAAGTTTAAAATTTAATAATGCATTTGAGTTTAGAGAGGCAGTGTGTTCACATTCAATTAAGCACGGGGCACTAGTAATCAAGTTTACAAAGAATGCGAAAAGGCTAGTCAGTGCAACGTGTTTCAACAATTGCAGTTGGAGAATTTATGCATCTAAAATGTATAATGAAGACTCAATGCAAGTCAAAGGGAGTTCATACATGTGGCATGTGTGAGGAATTTAGTATTATTTATTTAATATTAATTTTCTATTTGAATAGAAAGTAATAAAATCCATTGGATTAAAGACATGACCTTGGGGTTATAATAATGACATTTCTTCAATTGGGGAGTGACAACTCTTTATGTGTCTAGAACCTAATCAGAGACCTAGGGATGCATTGTTTGCCTTTTCAGATTGGGATACCTTTTTAGAAAGAGTATTTCATCATCTATAAATAGAGCAATCCTCCTGCAGTTTTATTCATTCAATTAATTCTATACATACAGACTTCCATATATAGAGAGCATTAGAGTTTTCATAAAGAGAGGTTTATGCATAATTTGGTTCAAAGTTCCTTGTGAATTGCAGTGCTTCTTTCATAAGGAGGGGATAAGAACCAGCGTGGGGTGTAATTCGTCTTAAGTTCAGAGTGTCCAATGCTTGCCTTGACGCAATTTAGGTTCTTCTAATTCAATTCTCCTTTTGTAAAAATCTGTTTTATGTGTAGTATTTATTTTGTTTATTTTATAGTAATTTAGCACTCATATTTCCAACAGTTTTAAGACGAATTAATCTGTGTTATTGTTATATACATTATCTATGTTAATTGCTATATACATAATCTGTGTTTGTGCATTTAAATGAAAAGGTGCAAACGGTTTGAATTTGATGCATAAAATAGTTTACTGCTTTAAGATTAAAGTCAGACATCTAACATATTTAGTTGATTTCCCTTAATTGCCATTGAAATTAACGCTGCAAACAAACAACAATCATTTTTTAATTGTTTTTCCTTTTTAGTTGGCTTTCTTTTCCTTTTGTCTTATCTACAATTTAAATTAGTTGCATTGATCTAACACTATTAGGTTTATTGTTTTGATTGGAACCTACACTATTTACATTGCCACACACGTCTGATTGTTGTTAGACAAGGATACTTGCAAATAGAATTTCATTCCCAATGGTTTGTATCGTTCATTATTTATTTATTTCTGTTTATTAATTTAAATTATATTGATTTGCATACATTAATTTTTACTGTACTTTTGGATATAGCATTTTACATAATTGTTTGTATTTGCTATAATTTTATATAGGTTTTGTATTATTAGTTTTTGTTTTGTTGTAACGTACTGTTGTGTACCATTATTTATCTAATTGAAGACTGCCAAATATTTGTTTATTGACATTGAGATTGTTCATTCAATTAAGGAAAATGTCGAATGAGATACAGAAAGTGGGTCCTGATAAGCCTATATTTTATATATATTTTATGCATCCTTTACTTATTTATTTGTTAATTTCCTTGGATTAAATTGGTTGTTTTAATTAGTTTTGTGAGATTTGTGAAGGAATTGTGGAAATAGGAGAAAGTGTGCTAAAAAGGGCAAGAAGATAAAGATTGGAGATTAATCAAGTCAAACAATGAGAAATAAAGAAGACCCTATTTTAGAAGGAATCCTACTTTTATAACAATTGTAATTATACCATAGATAGGATTTCTAGGAGTCTTATAAATAGGAAGTTTAGATCATTGTTCAGAGGGACCATCACCCATCACCCATCATCCTTCATATTCATACTCATAGCCTAAATATCCAAAGGAGAATA